TCATACAGTAAGATTGGCACAGGATAAAGCAAGTTTGAGGGCTTTTGTACATCTGGTCATTATGAGTCACAAGTGACTCAACAGCACATAAAAACAATAACATTATTCTATAATTTATGCACTTTGTTATATTATTTTGGGGGGGGGGGTTGCTATTGTTGTATTAAAACTGGGTCTAATAGGGAATCTCTGTGGATTGACCAGGTAACTACTTTCCAAATTTCTTGAGAGAGATAAATAATAACACCATGTCTTCGCTATTTCATTCTAATATAATACTTTATCTTCCTGAACTGCCTTTTGGAAGCTTTTGTTCAGCTGTCCTATTTCAAAATTTATTACTTTCACTTTTGTTTATCGAGGTTCAGAAGCAAATTTCAGAGTTTCTTCTGACATTCATTCTGTATTTTCTATCTTTCCTTTCTCCATAGTGACATTTTATTCATGGATGATATCCTTGTTATTGCACAGATCTTCTAGTCATAGGTCACTGCTGTTGTTATGTTTCATTGAGTCAAGTACAACTCAAAGCAATCCTATGATAAACAGATCTGACCTCTGTCCTGTCCTGTGCTATCCTCATCACTTTTTAAATAGTTGAGTCCATTGCTACAGTCTGATGTCAATCTATCTGACTGATTGTCTTCCTCTCTTTCATCTACCCTCCACCTTTAAGGGTGATGTTCCTCTATGGAATAGCAACATGCCCATATTATATGAGATGAAGCTTTGCCATCTTTGTTTCCACAGAGCACTCTGGCCACTCTTTCTCTAAGATATGTATGTTTGTTCTTATGGTAGTCCATGGGATATTCAATATTTCCCAAAATTATAGCTCAAAGGTATGAATTTTTCTGTTATCCTTATTCATTGCCCAGCAAGTGATTGAAAAAGATCATGGTCTGGACTGGGAATATTATTCTTCAAACTGACATTCTTGCTCCTCATTAATTTGGAGAAGTCCTAACTGCAGACTTCTTAGTGTAATAAATCTCCTAATCTCCTGACTACTGGTACCAAGAGTATTGGTTGTGGATTGATGAAGCCATTGACACTTTGAATCTTTCCTCAATCAATCATGATATTGCCTATAAGTCCAGTGGCAAAAATTTTTATTTTCTTAGCATTGAGATATAATTGAAGGCTGAAGTCTTTCATCTTTTGCAACTTGCACTTCAGTCACTTCTCACTTTTCAACAAGGAAGTTTGTGTTATCTGTTCAACACTGGTTGTTGATGAATCTTCTTCAGGTCTTGATGCTATATTCTTCTTTGTAGATTTCAGTTTCTAGAATTATTTGCTCAGCATAGAAATTGAATGAATATGGGGAGTGAATATAATCTTGATGCACACCATTTTTTAGTTTGTTTGTGGGTTTGTTTTTTTTTTTATTTTGGACACTCTGGAAGGTAGTTTAGAGGTTTCTCAAATAGCTGAATACAGAAATTCCATCTGATCCAACTATTCCACTGCTTGGAATATATCCCAAGAAAATGAGAACTGGGGAACAAACAGAGACTTGCACACCAATATTCAAAGCCGTATTATTCACTATTACAAGAAAATGGAAATATCCCAAATGTTCAAGCACAATCGAATGAATTGATAAATTATGGTATATTCACATGATGATGTACTATGCAAAGGCAATGATTTTATAAATCACTACCTAACTTCGGAGGGATTGTAGAGCACTACACTAAGTGAACTAACTCAATACTGTAAGGACAAATACTGTATAAGATCGGTGCTGTAAAACCTTTATGAGGATCCAACAGGGGCAGGGAGGGAGGAGGGAAGGAGCAAAGGAGTGAAGATGGGAGGAAGTGTTAATCATAGGGTCGCACAATTTGATGGGTGGATGTAAGTGTGGGTGAAAGAAATGGGAAAGATCTGGTATGAAAAACAATGTATACGAGCTTTCAAGTAAAGCCGTATAAAATAAAAAGTTATTTTTAAAAAATTAAGTGGGACAAATAGAAGGTCAAAGTTTGACTCAGGTGGACTTATTTTAATTGACTTCAGCTTTAATTTTAACCTGCACATATGATCTATTCCATAGTCAGCATGTGGCTTAGTGCTGATTGCTAAAATTGAACTTTCCCTCAGTCTTTTCCACAGATAGAGTGTATTGATCTCTGTGTATTAAATCAGGTGATCAATATATAAAAAGATTTCATAGATACCATTTGCATTTTAAAACAAAACTCTTCTAATTTGTTTTTAAATTGAGGACAAGAACATCTTTTATTAAACAATGACTTTCGATGATATTGTGGTCAAAAGAGGTTTTGAATATTGTTTGATTGAATTAATTATTAGCACAATCATATATTACATATGCTAATTAATTCAATTATATAAGTTGTTGTGATGTATCTTTGATTCAGAACCAAGTCATAATTGACCCTCAAGCGGGATTTCAGAAGCTGTGAATCATGCAGAGGAGTTAGTTCAAATTTTTCCCATGGAGAAAATTGTTATATTATCATGTACCTCTGAGTCAGAGCTGACCTTCCAACAAGTTTTCAAGGCAGTAAATAGTATGGGAAGAGATAGCCAAATTTAGCCCCCATAAAGAACCTGATGGGTTAAAATGGAGTGTCTGGGTTAAAGGTGCCACCCTTTCCCCACAAGGTTACTGTATTCTACTTGCAGCTATTGGGGTTTAAACTGCCTACCGTTGAGTTGGCAGCATAACTCCTTATCCATTAGGTAATATACACTATAAAAAAATTCATTCATATATATCATAGCTATATGTTCAATAATTTATATTCATTATTATGAGACAAATATCATTCAGAGGGGTAGTAAGAATGGCAGTCTAAAGGGAGGAGGAAAACTGAATGAGGCATTTTAGTGCTCACGGAGGCACACTATATGTGAGAGCGGTGCTTCCTATGTATAGCTTGACAAGGTCTGACCATGATACCAAACCTACTCCTTTACTAAAGACAGATTGTCTTCTGCTTGATTTGCTTTTATTGTTTAAATCATTGCCACACTATACTTGCACACAGTGCTGCATTTCCTTCTACCACTAAGGGCTAATTATTTAATATGTATTTATAGATGTTAGGAATCTAACTAGAAAGTAAGACTGAAACTTGGTATTGTTATTTGGTGATAATTTTTTTAACCCTCTATTCAGTGCCCGGTGAATTTTAGGTTACAATTTAAGAAATGAATAAATAAATATTTCAAATTAAGTAATTCTTTACAATTTAAACCTTTGATTCTTTAATGCTACATATACTAAGCTACATGCTCAAAACAATTTCATTTATTTCTGTTTTCCGTTTGTACAGAATGTGTTGTTAGTTGTTGTTAGGTGTCAATAAGTTAAGTACGACACATAGCAACTCTACGAACAAAAGAACAGAACCCTGTTGTATCCTACACCATCCTCACACTTCCTGATACACAAGAGTCCATTGAGGCCTTCAACTCGTCAGTCCACCTGGTTGAGGGTATCCCTTTCCTTCGCTGACTCTCCACCTTTCCTAGCATCACATCCCATTCCTAGGAATAGTCCCTCCTAGCAACATGCCCAAAGTATGTGAGGCAAACTGTTATCATTCTTGCTTCCAAATAGCACTCAAGCTTCAACCTTTCCAAGAAGTATCTGTTTGTTCACTTGGCTGTCCACAGGATGTTCAATGCTCTTCTTCAACACCACAGCTCAAAGGCATCAATTCTTTTTTGGTCATCCTTCTTCACTGCCCAGCTCTCAGATCCTTAGTAAGTGATTGGAAAGACTAGGGCCTAAATCTAACGCACCTTAGTCCTCAGGTTGACATCATTACTTCTAAATAATTTGGAGAGGTCTCTAATTGTAGATTTTCCCAGTGCAAAGTGTCTCCTTATTGCTGACTGCTGGTTGTTGTTATTATGCGTCGTTGAGTCGTTTGTAAGTCACAGTGACCCTATGTACAACAGCCTTAAATTCTGTGTTTTCCTTCTGTTTTGGCTTCTTGATATTCCAGTGCAATATTTATAGTCTTTTCTGATATCCATTTCCATTTTTTCTTCTCTGTTTTAACAATAACATGTTGTTTTCTTCATGCATGATATCCTTGATATCATCCCACAATTCATCTTGCCTTCAATCATTGGTGTTCAATGCCTCAAACCTATTCCTAAAATAATCTTGAACATCAGATAGAATTGATTAAAGATCATATCTTGATTCCTGTGGACTTATCTTTATTTTTTTCAGCCTCAATTCAAATTTGCATAAGTAATTGATGGTCTGACCCACAGTCTACCTCTGGCTTAGTTTTGACTGTCTATATTGAACTTCTCCAACAATTTCTTCCACAAATGAAGTCAATCTCATTCCTATGAAGTTCATCGGCTGAGATCCATGTGTAAAGTCATCGTTACTGTCCTTTAAAAAAGGTATTTGAAATTAATACATCATTGTAAACACAGAATTAAACCATTCTATTTCCAGCCTCATTGCTATCATTCAAGCCCATATTTTCCAACTGCCATTCCTGCTTCACTGTTTCCCACCGTTTCATTCCAGTCACCAATTATCATTAAAACATCTTGATTGCATGTTCAGTCAATTTTGGACTGCTAGCTCTGGTAAAAATTCTCAATTTCTTCTTCTTTATCTCCAGATGCAGGATTGTATATTTAAATAATAGTCATGTCAACAGGCCTTTCTTGTACACATGGATATTAACGCTATCACTCGCAACCTTGTGTTTCAGGATAGAGCTTGAAATTGACTTTCTGACTACAAATGCAATACTCATCTTTTTTTCTGTTTTTCCTTCCTGGTAAAACATACCATTAATTATCTGATTCAAAATTGCCAAACGAGTGCTCTGTGGGATACTGGAAGTCTCGAGCGTCTCCTCCGGGTTCCCAGCCCTGCTCTGGTCCGCGCTCATAGAAACAGTCACACACCCCCTGCCTCCCCTCTTTTCCCTCTCCGCCTCACCCTTCCCCCCTCGCGATAAGAAGACCCGGCGGCAGGAGAGGGGATGAATATGGCGGACGCGAAGCAGAAGCGGAACGAGCAGCTGAAGCGCTGGATCGGCTTCGAGACAGACCTCGAGCCTCCGGTGGTGAAGCGCCAGAAGACCAAGGTGAAGTTCGACGATGGCGCCGTCTTCCTGGCTGCTTGCTCCAGCGGCGACACGGACAAAGTCCTCAAGCTGCTGCACCGCGGCGCCGACATCAATTACGCCAGTGTGGACGGGCTCACGGCTTTGCACCAGGCCCAGTTTGCTCTTCTCCTTGAAAAGCAAAAGAAAAACTCCTTCATTGGTATTCAATCCCCTGCACCTCCCATCCCGAGTATAATCCACTCTGCAACCCTCATTTCGAACACTTATGATGATCACAATGCCCTAAAATACATTGTTTTTAAACTGTTCTCTCCCTCATCAGCTTCAATGCAATACACATAATTTATCCAGTTTTTCTCAGTCTTACCCCCACCCTGATGTCAGCCTCATTCTACAACAGTGGCACCGTACAGTATTTGTCCTTTTGTGACTGACATATTTCACTCAGCATGATGTCCTCCAGGGTCACCCATTTTGAATAATATTTCATGAGTTCCTTGTTTTTCAATGCAGTGTAGTATTCCATTTTGTGAATATACTACAGCTTCTCTCTCCATTTGTTTGTTGATGGGCACTTGGGTTGTTTCCGGTTCCTTGCTGTTGTGAACAAGGCCACGATAAACATGCGTGTGCATATATCTGCTTGGATGTCAGTTATGGTCTCTTTAGGGTATGTTCCCAGTAGTGGAATTGCTGGGTCAAACGGTATGAGACAGTGCCACACTGCCTTCCACAGTGGTTGCACCTTCAGTGGGTTTTTAAAGGCTATAAATTGTGTTAGAGAAGATTCCATCTTGCACTGCAAAGCAGCTAAGAGATTCAAACCACTTACCATTAAGTTGGCAGTACAACTCATAAATAAATTTTTACCTTTCAAAAATAAAAAAAAAACAAACAAAAAAAAACCCAAAATTGCCAAACGTGATGCATGTTATCTCCTTAATGCCTAGTTCATGCATTCATTTCATTTTTAACAATTTCCAGTTTTCCTATATTCAAGCCACCTACACTCCATGTCCCAGTTATTAAACAATATTAGTTACTGTTTTTCTTAATTTCAACTGATTTCCAATCTGGGCCCTACCATAAGTATTCTCATTCCTTTAGTATTTATAGGATTTTCAAAGGCCTGGTATTTAAGAAGTAGATGGCCCATCCTGCTACCTAATCTGTCTTAAACAAGGATGGGTAACCTGTCTGGCATTTGACACACCTGTGCCTTCCTGACACAGCTTTCAATATCACAGCAATTCCACATTATCTCGGTACAGAAAACTGAGAAGTGCTGTGCAACTTAGAACAATGTTTTTCCCAAACACAATTAATGCCAAATAGTTTACACTCGACTTTCAATAAAATCAAGAGACAATCTACATTACAGAATCTAATTGTTCCAAACTGGAGACTCATAGGCAGAATCCAACCATCAAAATTTTAAATACAAAGGGCCACCCACCAGGTCCTGATTGCTTAAACAAGAGGCTTCCTGTCCACAGCTAATTGTTAAGGAAATAAAAGCAGCCAATCTGTTTACTGTTGATTAGTAACACAATAAAAAACACCCTCCTAAAGAGTTTTTTCCTAACTTCCAATGAAATCAAAACAACCTACCCTCCAAAATGGAATATAATAGCTTCTATTGTAAGTTACAACATGGTAATGGTAAACAACAAGAACAACAACAACAATTATTATTCTTAGTTTATCCAATTAGCTACCAAGATATTGCTTCCTTTTTCTCTGCAAATACTTACAAGTGTGTTATTCTAAGGATTTCAATTCTTCTATATTTGTACACCATTAAATAAACCATATCTACAGTATTGTTTTTCATGTATGCATTAATGTTGGGATCCAAAAAGAAGAAGAAATGTTTTCATTCCGAAATATTGATCAACTATAAAAAATTACAGATATCAATATTTTATGTAAATAGCATTTTTTCAAATAACACGTAGTAAGAGTAAATCTTTAAATATTCACATTTAAAACAGTTTAGTGTTAAAAAAGAGGAGAAAGTGTTAATGTGCATAAAACCAAAGATAGTTCTTAAGAGATCAGTGAAAGACTTAATTTTCATATAATGTATGTTCCTTTGCTTATTCTATGCTGTAAATTGTAACAGATAACATACTAAAGTTATCTTTCTTGAAAGTTATTAATCAAGTCAGACAAAACAAAAACAATTTTAAACCTTTAACTATTAGGACATGTTTTTAACATTTCATTAAAGTAGGTGGTAGAAAGCATACTGCAAAATAACTTATACCTTGGAAAAATCATTATATCAAATTATTGTACAAAAATGTAGGAAGGATTAATGAATTTATCTTCTAACCTGTAATCAGCCAATATGCTTCAATACAAACACGATTAACCTTTTTGTTGTTTGCATGATACAATCCCATCAACATCATCTCTTTTGTATAAAGTTCCAAAGATTTGCACATATTTTTTGAAAATGTTATTAGAATATAAATAATATTTAAAGATCTTTTTAATGTAATTCTACCCAACAGATTGAGAGTTCTTTCACCAAAATTCCTACACAAAATTAGGCATCAGAACACTAATCAGTCACCAATGAAATTATATCTGAGTTTTCACATATATGTGTTAAGATAGTTCTATGAGGATAATAAAATCTGTATATTTTAAAAGTTTTAATGCTAAATAATAAAAACTATATAAAATAAATGAGAAATTTAAACTTTTTTGTTTACATAGGCTAATTATATTGACCCTATGTGCAATGGAATAAAATACTGCCTGGTCTTACACTATCCTCATAAACTTTGTGATATGTTAATCCATTATTTATAGACTTTATGTAAATTTATCTCATTGAAATTCTTAGACTTTTCCCCCTGTCTTTTTACTCTACCACATTATGAGATTTGGTAAAGAAAATCTGGGTTCTTCTGAAAATACACAACATACCTAAAATGGAGTTGATATTCTCTCTTCTAATGAGGATTTTGGCTGTGCTTTTTCCAAGTGACTAGCTGATTCATACTGTCAGAGAGACATCACCTTTGGGTTAACAACACAACACCCCATGTAGAAGGCCATCAGAATTTCACTGTTTTAAGTTTGAGTTTCTTCCAAAACAGATTTATTTGTCCTACTGATGTCTAAGTTGTATTCTTTATCCTTCAAACTCTATTATTCAAATATATCAGTTCCCCTTCAGTTTTCCTAAGTCATATTTCTGTTGTTTCATGCATTTGTGGTGATTTGAAATATGCTCACTTGAGTCAAGATCTACTTTAGATCTCAAAATAACATCTTTTCCTTTTAAAACTTTAAAAGTGTTTTTCAGCAGATTTTCCCAATATAATAATACATAGTTTGGTTTCTTAATTGCTGTTGCATAGGTGTTGATTGTGGATTCAAGTAAAGTTAGTTAGTTGACAACTTCAACAGTGTCATTTATCATATTGTTACTCATTGATCCAGATGTGAGGTGGTTAGGTGTTGTGGAGTCAACGAGGATTCATAACAGCCACATAAACAACAGATTGGATCCTGGTCCTCTCCTGTGCCATCACTGTGATTTTTCCAGGCTGGAGTCCACTGTGAAGTCACTCTGTCAGTCCATCTCAAAGAGAGTTGTTAATTCTCTCCTTGATCCTGTACATTTCCCAATAGGATGCCATTTCCTAAAGAGTGATCACAAGGAGCTCTGAAATCCTAGTCCCTAAGGAGTTGTGCTGTTAACCAAAAGGTGGCACTTTACTAATACTTCTAACCCATCCATGATCATGCTAAGGAAAGAAGCTTGGAAACATTCTCATGTACCATTTATGCCCTCTGAGAAACAGTTTACAGGTCATCTATCTATACATAGAGATTCTGACTCAACAGTAGTAGATCTGAATTTGTATTTTATTTTAATGTATATTGAAATGTAATTCATAATTAATTCTATTGTTGAAGTCAATAGTCTGACTTTTTACTCAGGAAGTACTTAAACTCCTCTACCTTTTTAGCAATCAGGTTTGTTTTACCTGCATATTGCTGGTTATTACTGAGACTTTATTATGATTGCTATTGTGTTCTTCATGAATTTCCAGTATTATGAATTTTTATTTAGGACACAGATTGCAAAACCTATGCTTGGACCAGGAGGCAGTTGTCAAAAAAGCAAGGAGACCCTGCTTGGTTCAAAATTGGGAAGGGTGTACACCAGGGGTGTCTCCATACTTTTTCAGTCTATATGCAGAACACATCATACAGGAGGCTGGGCTCTATGAAGAGGAATGTAGCATTAGGATTGGAGAAAGATAATCAACAACTTTTGTTATGCAGATGACACAACACTGCTTGCTGAAACTGAGAACCTGAAAAGCTTGCTGCAGAAGGACAAGGACTGCATCCTTCCGTATGGATTGAAGCTCAACATCAAGAAAACAAAGATTCTCACCACTGTGCCAATTGGCAGCATCATGATGAATGGTGAGGAGATTGAGATTGTTAACAGCTTTAGTTTACTTGGCTCCACGATTTTTTTTTTTTCTTTTTGTTTTTGTTTTTTTTTGGCTCCACGATTAACACACTTGGTAACAGCAGCCAGGAATCAAGAGACGAATTGCGTTGGGAAAGTTGGCTGTCAGGTGCCTTTCCAGAGTACTGAAGAACAACTATGTCAATCTGGAGACTAAGGTGCATCTGATCTAGGCCATAGTCTTTGAAATTGTTTGCCATGCATCAAAGAGCTGGAAAATGACTAGGGGTGAGAGAAAGAGAATTGATGCCTTTGAGCTGTGGTGCTGGAGAAGAGTGTTGATTATACATACCATAGAAAACAAACAGGTTTGTCTTAGAGAGGATGAAGTCAGCTTGCTCCTTGAAGATAAGGATTCTGAGACTTCACCTAACATACTTTGGGTTTGTTGCAAGGAGGGACCAGTCTTTGGAAAAGAACATCGTTCTTGGAAGGGGCGGGGAGAAAGAGAGAGAACACTGATGAGATGGATTAATGCAATGTTTTGGGTATGAGGGTAGGTGTGTCAGAGACAGTAAAGGCCGCAGGATAGAGAAGGTTTTAGGGCTGTTGTACATAGGGTCTCTATGCATTGCAAGAGACTCAACAGCACATAACAACAACACAGATTGATTTAAGTTTGAAAAGTACTCTGATGGACACCATTCTTGATATTAAAGCATGCAATTTCTTCTTGTTCTTTTAAAAAGAATGCCTCTAGATAATGATACAGATTCTATATGATCAAAATTAAGTGTTCTAAAATTTCCATTCTTTGTAATAGTAACCAGATTTCTTAGGATCCACAAAGTTAAATGTCTGCATAGTTACTAAAATGTAGATAAACATCTCTGGCATTCTCTCCTTTCATTCAAGAGCACCTGCTGTTAGCAATGATATTCATCATTTTACATACCATACTTGAATTCTGAGAGTTACCAATTGAAGAATTGCTACATATATTTTTAATTAACAGCAGCCTTTTACTTCCAAATGATATTGGTCAATAATGTTTACATTCTGTTGTGTTGTCTTTTTTTGGAATTGATACAAACATGCTTGTCCTTCAGTTGTTTAGCTTTGTAATTGTTTTCCTATTAACTTAGCATAGACAAGTGAGCACTTCCAGATTGCAAATATTTTTGAAACATCTTAGTTGACATTCTCTTAGTTACTTTTACAACAATATTTTCCCCCCAAAGTCTTCAGTGCACCATGCAACTTCTGTACCATTTATTTTTTAAAAATTTGTTTTTAAGGATTATTAGTTATCTGAAGTTCTATTGTCTCTCATTTACTCTCAACTTACACAACATTTAATATCTCTCTGAACTAAAGGATATGCCTTTTTCTTTATTTTGGAAACCAGATCTTGGACTATGTTGTTATTTTGAAAAATGAATATGATTTATTATACATTCCATATGAAGTTACTGTTTTGTTATATTCCATCAAATTTGAACTATCTCATACCTACACCTCCAGTAGGTTTCAGAGGCAGTAAAATCAGATGAGAGTTGATTGTCCATATTTGTTATATGGAGCAGTTGTGAATTTGAACCAAGCCTTACTGCTAGGCTATCAGAGCTCCACTCTTTTATTCATCCCATATTATTCTACATTCCATATATATTTAGAAACCAAATATTTAAATAAATATATTATGTAATATTAGGATTTAGGGCTGTTTTAAAGAGGATAACTATGGTCACAGATGACTTGAAGGCACATAACAACAACAGTAAAAACATTTATCAATACTTATTTCATTGTTTTAAAAAGGTTATACAAGTTTACTAAAAGATAGTTAAACACACACTTGAAACAAAACAACATAGTTTAAGAAAGAGCAAGGTAAGTAATGAAAGTATGCAAACAGGATATGTAAGAAAATAACAGGAAAATTATCTAATATTTAAAAACAAACTTGTATTTTAATAATAAATACTTATTATCTCTGGCATTGTTTCAATCACCGAAGTTTCTCACTATGTTTTTCCTTTTACAATATTTACATTCTAATCACCAATAATTCTCAATGCAACTTAATTACATATTTGATCAATTTTACACTGCAGATATTGATTAAAAGTTCTAATTTCTTTAAATATCAGTCATATTAGCCATTCTCCCTTGTAGATGTATGAATATTATCATGTATCTCAGTTGTTGTTATGTGCCATTGAGTCCCTTGTAAGTCATGGTGACCCTATGTACAAGAGCCCTAAATGCTGCTCCATCCTGTGTCAACTTCACTGTCTCTGCCACACCCACTCATATTACCCCAATCACAGAATCAATCCATCTCATCGAGGGCCTTCCTCTCTCCTGTGCTGTCCCTCTACTCTCCCAAACATGATGTCCCTCTCCAAGATCTGGTACTTCATTGCAACATTCCCAAAGTATGTCAGACAAAGCTTCAGTATCCTTGCCTCCAAGAAGCAACCTGGTTTCACCCTCTCCAGGACGACCTTGTTCGTTCTCTTAGCAGTCCATAGTAAATGAAACACTTTTCTCCAGCACTACAATTGTCTTTCTATCATTTCTAGTCACTGTTCAGCTCTCCAACTCATAGCATGCATTTGTGAAGACAATGGCCCAGATCAGGGGCATCTTAGTCTCCAGCCTGACGTTGTTGCTCTTCAGTACTTTGGAGGTCCCTGACAACTAATTTTCCCAGTGCAATTTGTCTCTTGATTTCCTGGCTGCTTGTACCAAGAGTGTTGACTGTGGAGCCAAGCAAGCTAAAACTGTTAACTATCTCAATCTCTTCACCATCCATTAATGATGCTGCTAATTGTCCCAGAGGTGAGAATCTTTGTTTTCTTGATGTTGAGTTTCAATCCAAATTGAAGGCTGCAGTCCTTGACCTTCTGCAGCTAGCGCTTCAGATCCTCCTCAGTTTCAACAAGCAATGCTGTGTGATCTGTATAACACAGGTTGTTGATGAATCTTCCTCCAATCCCAATGCCACAATCCTCTTTGTACTGCCCAACGTCCTGGATGATCTGTTCTGCATACAGATTGAAACAGTATGGAGACAGATACAACCCTGGCGGACACCCTTTCTGA